ATTGGGTAAAATAAAAAAAAATACGTCAAAAATCCCGAAAAACGTTTTTTCAATTGTCCTTCAGCTGCACAACTAAAGTTATTTGAATATTATTAAACAGAATCTATTTTTTTAAACAATAAACAATGTCTTTTAAAAATTATGACTAAAATTTACGATTGATAATTTTTTTCTGATACAAATAGCGTTCGTTATAACGAGAAGTTACTATTAATTGGTGATCCGCCGATTAACGATAGAAATTTGTTATGCAGACCCGTGATATTATTAATATTAAAAATTTGAGATCACGGAATCCAAATTGACCATTATTATTATTATTATTTAAAAAAAATATATTTCAAATTTAAAAATTCTTTTAATATTGTATTAAATTAAAAAAAACCTCCGTTTTCAGATTTTTTAGAAATATAATAATAATAAAATATTTTTTTATAGACTTTTGATTTACATTATATTGCCAATTAATTGCATTGGAAAACAATTTTTCCTAAATAGTAAAAGTATATACTGTATATTGTAAAGGTTACATGAATAGAAGTTTGTGGATGAGGTTTAGTTGCTTTTGTTTTTGATAATTTTTTGAATTTGTGCCGGGGAAAATGTTTTTACCCACGTCAAGTAAAGATCTAGCATATTGACTTATATCAGCCATTGGATATATCAGCTATTGTGTTTATTTTTCCTTATTAGCCCATTAAAAAAAACTTATTTCAAAGAAATAATTTTGTTAATAAATAATTTCTATAGACAATTTGAAAAAAAGGATAGAGGCGGAACTAAAAAATAATTACCATTTTGCAAGATTTTTTTTTCATACAGGTAATGAATGCTATACAAAGTTGGATAACTTGTTTTTTGTATTAGTATTAATAATCCAATGGAGGTATATTTTATCGCATTCCACGAGTTTATTTGTATGCATTAGAATTTTTGTGCATCAAATTGTGGCTGGGAATCGTAAAACCTGTTCCAAATCTTGAAATATTCATTGTTCATTGACCATTTTAATACAAAATGACCAACTTGTCATTTCTTTTTGACTTTCCTTTTGAACATGACCTCCTCACCAAAGAGCACTCAAAAAATAACTGATAAAGTTGAACCAAAAAATGAACATCTCGAACACGTCGAGCTACGGCATGGTGAACGTAAATTACATGTTTCTTCATTTGAATTTACAGAAAACTCGGGTTCCAATCCAACTTCTATAATCTCAAAACATGCCTCTTCACATGGGTTGGCCTCAGCAATTATTCATGCTTATACCCTTCACCAACACCTTCGATTATCACCAGATGATATATGGTTAACAATTGCACAAGGTATTAGTAGGCACATTTTCAATAACGCTGAACGTTTTCGTTACTTATTTGTTGACCATGAAGGTCAGGAAGATGTCTTTGTGGATGCTCAAGATATTATAGGGTATGACTTTCTAGGTGATTGGCCACAAGCCATTTCTCGGCTTTCTGGTGCTATTGATAAACGAGTTAAAAAAGTTGGTTTAAAACAGCATCTCGAATGCGATTTTTCTACCTCAACAAATTCATCTATTACTGCCAGCCAAATTATCTTGTTGGATGCGATGAAAAAGTATTTTAGATATAGACTGAGGGGTGGTTGTGGTATTCCAAAGGTTACCCTTGATGGCACCTTGGAAGATTGGTTGCATCTTCAAGAAAAAGTTGCAAAAATTCGTGATTTGGGATTGGAACTTGATTTCTGGTTAAATAGGTTAGAACCAGTCATCACTCAATTTGTCGCCACCTATAAAGGAGACGTTGACGAAAACTTTTGGAGCATGGCTATTTTCAATACTCCTTATTCTAGTGGCATGCCGACTCCTTGTTGGGATGGATGGATAGGTGCTTTGTTCCCTTACGGCGAGTCAGGAAGGCAAATTATGAGGAATGAAATTGTTCCTGCTGAAGTACCTTCTGGATTAGTATATGTTCCTTTCAATTTGGGTATCTTGGCAGAAAATTTTAAATTAAAATTTGCTGCAGGTTTTTTCGGTGCTAGGCAAGTTAAGGTTAACGATGAATATGTTATTTCACCTGTTATTGGTTGGTATATTGCTGGTGCTTAAAATTTAATTGTAAATTAGCTAGTTATATATTTGAAATAAGAATAGTAGCAAATACATATGTCCTTTTAAATAAAACAGTTATAAAGTGGGGCTTAATTATAAACGTTGATTACATGTAACATGGTACTTTATTTAAAATGAAAACAGGATGCATTATTTTCCGCAGAATTGCACTCACTGCCTGTTTCTTTTGAAAGGAATTAAAATATTTATATGTAAATGCAATCTTTTCTTTTTAACAAAACTTTAATGAAAATGAATCTAAAGTACCATTATTATTTATTATCACTTATTTCTAAATCCACAGATTTATAAGAACTCATATTAATATCTAGCATACATGTTAAAATTGAAAAAATTTCTGATTTAGGTATTTATTGTATCTGAAAAAAAAACCCCCTTGAATATTTAAGTTAGCTTCACTGGATTGGCAAGACTCTATGAAATAACTAATTGTGTGATCAAATCTATGCTTTCTCATATTGCATCTATTTCCATGATCTGAGAATCAAAAGGATTATAATTGCTATTTTTTGAGACGTAGAGGCTTGAAGGATCAGGATCAGAAGTGTCACCCTCAGCATAATAATTTTCAATTATAATGATCTATCTTATGTCTCATTGCAACCCTGCTGCGATGATACAAATTAAGTTGTTCAGGACATGACAAAGAATTTAGCTAAACCACCACCATGTTGTAAGGATTAATATTGTTACAGATAATTTTTTAAATTTAAAAGCAAGTTATATACATGCTCTTTATTTATATTAAGAATTATCTTCATTTTTATTGGCCTTATTATCCTCCGATTCAACTGATCAAAATACCCAAGGAAATTTAAAATTGTTTTGTATCTGTTGTATGTGAAATTGAAATTATGTGAAAATTAAAATGGAAATTGAAATCCGTAAATCAGTTTCCTTCTCCATCACATAATTCACTGCCTCCACAGCAAAAAACTTCTACTTGGCTTAGTATTATAATTAGGAGAAAATGTTCGTTATGGAGAGAATCCGCTATTATTATAGACAGTAATGATTTACTTATTATCGTGCTTAAATTCTTGATCCGTTATAAGGCAAGATCCATGAACTGTATCAAAAACCAATAGAGAGAGTCAATAAATAAAAGAACAAAAAATAGGCGATATAGAAGATGAAGATATTATTAAAATATAGGATGGGTTTACGTCAGAACGACCAAAGATAGGTAATTACTTATCAACGGCTTCCCTTCCAACTAATTGTTCTGGGTGGTTTTTTTATCTTCTATGCCGTATACTGCCACGAATTTTAATATTTATATAAATTAAATATTTTCTCTTGGTTGAATCAAGTAGATAAAACGTTACTTATTATTGTTATTTAATCTTTTCCTTGAATGTCTTCGATATTGCTATTACAATCAATATTCATGATGATCATGCTTGATGTAAATAAATAATTGCATCGCACGGACTACAGATACTAGGACGGAATAATTCTAAATCAAATCTATGAACTTCAGACAAAAATGCACTAAATCCGGAATGGACTATTTCATTGCTTGGTAAAGATGAAGCATAAATAAAAATTTTATTCTTCATTTTTTTTTTTTTTTTGATTATTGTTTCAGAATCTGGTCCAAGAATGAATGATGTAAAAGCTGAATTGATTACCATTTGCGCTGATTTTGTTTGAACCTCGAAATTTAGTATGATATGATCACGACATTATGAATATACTAGCAACAACCCATTGGTTTGAGGTGGGCTATTGGTTTGACGGGCTGTTGAATAGTAAAATAGTTTTTTTTAGCGGAGCAAATAAATTTTTTAGGGTTAATTATCATTCTACTGATTAATACGTCAAGACACAAAAAAGATATAAGGTTTTAAAAGGGGAATAAATGTGAATTAATGGAAAAAAATATAAGAACAAAAATTAAAGGTATGCCATTAATATATAAGGCTCTAAACAAGTTGGGTTTTAAAGCAATGCGATTTTTAAAAAACTGGATTCGGATTAAATCGGATTTTTAAATTGATATTATTATATTTTAAAATTTATGCTATAACTAGAATAAGGCAACGAATCTATTCATCTATAATAAATTATGTACAGAATAGGTACCAACTAGTACGGAAAAACATATTTTTGATACGGAATGCATTATTATTATAATTAGATACCACTTTCCCGTACTAACATGGAATCTTCCTATTAATATTAAATGCACAAAAAGTACGGAATTCATACGAGATAGGTACGGGATATGGAATGTATACTAATACTAATAAAAAACACACAGGATACGCACAAAATTATGGAAAACATACAGAATTTATTTTTCCCGTATTAGTATGATTTATGTGATGTCTAATTATAATATGAAATTCATAAAAACGAATTCCGTATTAGCATTGTCAGAAGAAAACGAATTGATGGATTTTGTATTGATCATTGCCATAGATGTATCAATAGGACAAAAATCAGTTGGTTCATTGAATGAACAATTACAGGTAAAAGATGTACTGCCTTTATGAACAAATATTTGCCCAAAATAATGATTAGTATTAGTATGGTCATTTGTTAATGTATAAGTAAATGTTTGATTGCAATTAATGCAAGTAATTAAATAGGAGTCTTCTTGAGTGCAGACTGAACCAGAGGAAGAGGATCTGTCAATTTTCTTTGTTGCTGGAGCAGGAGTAGTGGACTGTTGTCCAGTTTTGGCTTTATCACAATTTCTTTATTTGTCATTTTAACTAACATTAATAACTATCATATGGAAGTAAAATATTTTTTTTGACTTGGTTGTTTTATTTAAAATAGTAAAATATTGATTTAAATGAACAGCAGAAAGGTTTAACAAATTATATCTTATTAAATATAAATAATCAAAATATTTGTATTGGTAAGGAGATATTCAGTATGGTATAACTTTTGCAGAACATATGGTATGGATGAAGGGAAGCATGTTAGATTTAAGTATTGGTATACAACCATTTATCACACTTATACAATACCATGCCATATGTTCTGCCATACTGAATCCTATATTCTATTTATATTCATTAGATGAGAAACTATAAAGATGGATATAGATAATCAAATTAATCTAAATATTTATATCCATTAGATGAGAAACTATAAATATGATAATAATGTTAATGTTAATATTGTTACTAAATCTTAAAATTAATAATTGAATAATTAATATAATTAATAATTAATGATAATCACCATTATTATTATCAATAATTGTTACTTTATTGGAATTCACAGGTTGAGGAAGGTTTGTAAATTTTAATAATCTGCTAGTATAAACTGCATTTGGATGAATTACTGTGGTAATTGTTGAAGGATCAAATTTTATTTCATCCATTT